CCCAAAACCCCTTCAATTTTTTTATTTTTTTTGTATTTTTAATTTTCTATTTTTTTTTATTTTTCTACACCACCCACCTTAGCCCCCTCCCCACTGCGCAAATCAGATGTAGAGTTTCTTAAATACCCAAGATCTAGCTAGCAAGTTTCAAGTTGCTAGGAATATCAGAGCATTAAAAAGAATCAACTTTCATGAAAAGGGTTAGATTTATCCTTATACTATTGTAAATAGTTTACATTTATCCTTCGTTATACTTTTCGTCCCAATACCTCCTTACCGTTACAAAAGTAAGCAAAAACACCCCAAACCTAGCGGTTGTCCATTGTGGCATCTGGGCTTCTCAAATAAATTACCACGTAACTGTCCATGTCAGCATTTTTAAAAATTAATCCCTAACTATAATAGACCCCTTCCCTATTCAGCAATCCATCTTCAATGTGCAGCAGCAACATATCTCCATTCCTAAAATTTTCAGCAGCTACATTGATTACAAGAACCAACAATGGTGGTCGTAGAAATTTAAGCTCCACACAGTGAACTACAAAGAAACTAACAATAATTTTTGTCTGCAACTTTAAACTTTAAACCAACAGATGTGGACTTTCGAACACCCAACAACGTAGGTTCCCAAAACTCACTATAGTGGACGAATCCAAATCTCGTTTCAGTCATAACACAAATCGATTCTCAAAAATCAACTTGTAATATAGCCATTCAATTTCAGCAACCATAATATAAAGTTCGGAACTGACGAACTGGAGTTGCAGGTGCAACTTTGTCGAACTATTGAATTTTCAACTCAAATGTGGTCTAAATATTCATGAATCAGCCCCAAAATATGGATATGAACTGTACAAAACATTTTCGATTGTTTGGAACAATACCCAATCGAAATAGCTTCGATTTGCAGAACCCCGATTATTGGATTCAGAGCTTCAATCTTCGTTAATGGCTGTTATGGAGTTTTCGGATTTTAGGTTCTCCCTCAAGCTTCTCAACTTAGTGTATTGCATAACTCACCTGTCAACATTTTGATCCTACAGAACATTAATAACAGTTGAGAGTGGTTTTAATAATGCCTACAAACAAGAATGAAAAAATGAAGAATAAGCAACATAATGCAAGGTAGATTTAGACATAAATGAAGTTCACGAAGAAGCTGTCTTTCTGGAGTTCAACCAATATTCAAACCGAAGTATTAGAAAGAACATTTCCATACCAATGGAGAAATAAGTTAGACTAGATTTTTTGGATCAGGTAAAGTAAAATAATTCAACTAAAGTTTATGCCCGAAAAATGGATAGAGATGCACTTCGAGTTTCAAAATGATTTCCATATGTGTTTTTAAAAACATTATATTTAGGGATTAATTTATAAAAATGCTGATATGGACTGTTACGTGGCAATTTATTTAAGGGGCTGAGGTGCCATGGTGGACAACCGTTAGTTTGAGGGCGTTTTTGCCTACTTTGGTAACAGTAGAGGGATGTTTGGACAGAAAGTATAACAGAGGATAAATATAAACTATTTACAATAGAATAAGGATGAATCTGACCATTTTTCCTTTTTTTTGTAAACGCCACATCCAGACCCCTAGTACAAAAATTCAAGACCTCAGTGTAACTAATAGAATAAGAAAACTCAAACTATTTAAAAATTTACTATTATGTAAAAGTTTTATCATCAAGGCCTAAAACATCCCTTACATTTTTTTTTTCGATCCTCAAAGTTTTTATATTTGGAATTCTTTTTACTATTTTGCTGATACAACCTTCACTTAGAACATACTTCACCTTCTAGACTTGCATTATTGGTGTCCACAACCGATAAATTGACAACTTCACCAGTATAAGGTCAATATGCCGGTCATTGAATATCGGATTCAACTATTTAGCTAATTTAATGCTTCATCTAATAAAAAATTTACAACCTAGCAGCAAAAATATAAAATGTCAGATCCTTAGAGACACATAACACCAACAAATCTATTAAGGCAAAAAGATAAAAATAAATACCTTAAATGTCTCCAAAGAGAGGATAAGATGTATCAACATTGGAATTTGCCATTTTTTGTAAATCAAAAGACTTCTTCTCTAAGTTGGGTATTCAAGTTTAAGGTATCAGAGGTGCTTAGAGAGCCCCAACTAACTTGGGATGATCAATGGAGAACCTTGAACTACAACCCTAAGATATCTAGCCCTCTTGGTTACAACGTATAAGATCATTTTTCTGACGAACTCAGAGGGGATGTACTAAAGAAAATTAATGCTTAAATTATGAAGTTGTGTTGCATTGTCCCTGTTGCATAGAACACTCTCCTACAAAATCAATAAAGGATTGTGCTGACATTGGTGGACCATGAAAGAAAAATCACAGACATGGACTGATCAATTAAGAACCATCAATACTTTGATAAGACATACGTTAGGACTACTCTTTTAGTATCAAGATGGATAGAATAATCATCAAAACGCATTCGAGAAGAATACTTAAATGGTCTGACATCTTTGATTGCTCACGCCTCTATATATTTGTAATAAATATCTTCCCGATTCCCCAACAAACCTTATATAAGTATGGAGAGATTGATTCTTGGAATGAAAAGTATGAATTTTTATTAATTCTTGGAAAGATAGTAATGATGGTTTATGGATTCTTGAAAAAGTTATGACTATGCATTCTTAAAAAAGTTGTAAAATGGCATTTCTTGAAAAAGTTGTGGAAGACAAGTTTACACAAAATTAAACGGCTGGTAAACTTTGTATGTTTAGCTTCTTCAAGATTTTGAATTGCTATACATTAAGGGGGCATAGACTAATTAAGACAATTTTTATATACTAAACATATAACCTCTACAAAACATAATAAAATGTATAAAACTTAATTAAG